TGCAAGTACCGGGAGGATTCGAATAACTTAGATGCATGTATAAGATTGAATAAAAAGAAATTTAAGTGTGGGATATAAAACCTTACCATATAGTCTTATCTGTGTGACTCTTACTCTTCAAATTAAATTTTACTTGGTACATTTCCCTTCATGGGTTAACATCAAATATCATACAAGTGATGCTTTCTTATTCCATGGACTACAGAGATGCCTTATGAATTAACATTCTTCAATGAAAGTGTTCGATCATTTGACACAGAAGGCGAAAAGTGAGGTTCCGGCAGTAAACGTTGGATTTATAAATCTGAGATTAACTTTATACCCACTTCCGACGTAAATGCATCCATTGCTTATTGACATGCCATCATACACGGTTGCTCCGGTGTCATAAGACCACAGGATTTTTCCACTTCCTGTGTCCATTGCGTATATAGAATCTTGTGGATTTGGAGATCCAGCAAATAGAACGCCGTTGGCGACACTGACTGGGCTAGGAGAAGCTGCACCAATAGGGCTGGCAGTTGACCATATGATTTTTCCACTGAGGATTCATTGCCACCCATCCGCCACCAGTTGTTATGTTATTTGATGGTTTCAGAGTAAAGTTTTTACCATCAGCGTTACCGATGTTGGTGTACACCATTTTCTTGTCAGTAGCTGCTCCCCAAGGTCCTCCTTCTTGAATGCTTCCAGGCCCAGCCTCCTACATAGCACATAGATATCATTTAAAGATGACACACATAAGTGGAATTCATGTAGTGATTGATTTGAACCGAGTACTAATCTATCGTACCTGCTACACAACAATTTTGATATTTGATCGATATTTACATCAAACAAAATATCAATGAAGTATCAACATAATTGAACAACGTGTAAAGTAGGTATATTGCAAATTGATACCTTATACCAAACAATCTTTTACTATGTAAGTTGTGGTGGTTTTCATGCATGAGAGAATGATGAGTGAGTCCAAGTCAACTTACCGTTGACCACAAAAGGCTGCCATTATTCCGATCTAGAGCTCAAGCAAACCCACTTTTCTGAACGGCCACAACTATATCTCTATTGGTTCTATTGACACGAATACCGAGCATCATTGGTGCTTCTCCAAAGTCAGCATCCACGTTTGGTCCAGTAGGGCAAGTTGAAACGTTTAAGAAACAAGCAAGAAACCATACATCGTAGCCACCGAGCTGACGGCAGAGGGGGCGCTGCGAGGAGCGAAAGGTGCAATTGCACAGGATTCCGAATTTGAAGGGACTTCCAAAATTTTTGTCATCTAATCTAATATTTATATGTAATAATGTTCTATATTTAAAAATTACTTTTGTTATGTAATAACGTTCTATATTTAAAATTTATTTTTGTTAGCACTTTAAAATTTCATTGTACACCCCTTATAAGCGTCTTTTTTTCCTTTCTAACACCTTAAAAATGGTACTCTTTTTTTTCAATTTTGTTATATAATAATGTTATATATTCAAGTGAAACTTTAAAGTTAGAAATTTTTAAATTTTTTTCCTTGTTTGGTTGTTTAAGATTAAACTGCTTTTTATTATTTAGTGAACGTTATATTGGTAGCCCTTTTTACTTATTATTAATGACATTTTTAAACTTGCAATCAATGAGTACTAAACTTTATTTTGATTAAGTGATTCTTTTCTAGCGTCAATACATTGTCCTACTTTTTTTTAAAACTATCTTAAGAGGGGCTCTTTCATAAATTTCGTACAGAGCCTCCAAAATCTCAGAGATGGTCATGGCTGATGGTACCACTTGATATCGCCGTTGTCCAAATCAAGGGCCAGAATTGAGTTGCCATGATTTTCCGGCTCAACACACGCATCTAGATGAGTGGGCATAGTTGAATTATTCTGATTGTCTTGGCATTGGCTTACATGTTCAGGAACTGAGTAGACATTTCCGGTAGCAATATACACGTGTTTTCTATGGACGTCAATGGACGGACCGCTTCCCCATATAGCTGCCCCGGCATACTGTCCTAGCTCTCCATGGTTATCGAGCAGCATGAAGGTCTGCCATAACACGCAGTGGCGGAGCTAGGAATTTAAGACAATGGGGTCAAAAGTTGAACTTCCATTACTAGACAGGGCATGCCGAAAACGCGGGTCTGACGATCTGGAGGCTGCCAGGCCTTAAATTCACGGTGGTGGGAAGATTTAGCAGGGGGCTGGAGAAGAGGTGCTGATGGAGTGATGGCTAACAAATGGAGCAGCAGCTCCTATTGGACCTTAAACTGCTTCTAGTTCCAAGGATCGACGACAGCAAGTGGAGCTCCAATGGATGAGTTGCTGCTGCATCGAAGAAGAAAGAAGAAAAAAAGGGTTTAGTCCCAACGACTTGTTTTCAGTTTAAATGCTTTGTATGTGTGTGTGAGAGTGACAAGTGTGCACTCCAGATTAGATCGCTTAAAACCCCAATGAAGCGCTAGGATCAAATCTGGAGGAGAATGGGTGTAATATTTGTTTAAGTTCTCTTGTCCCCCAGACTCTTAAAAAATGTTTTGGGAGTTGGCAATGCACCAAACCTTACAAACATTCCTTATTAAATGAAGTGATGGCAGATGCAATTTGCACAGCCTTGTAGTCGTCCAACATCTCTGCATTCTTTGTTCCATTTTTCTGTCAAGTTCTAAACCCCAAGAAACTAATCAAACAAACACAAACAAACTTTATCAGCTCCTTCTTCTTCTTCTTGTTTGGCCACAAGGTTATTGGGGTCAAGGAATCCCATTGCCCCCACCTTGGCTCCGCTACTGATAACACGGCACCGGATTTTACATCTAATTTCGCAAGGCTGCCGCCAAAGGTACACATGGCCGGCCCAGTTCCAGTGCGGGTAGGACAACCGTCCAAGGTCAAAAAAAATTGGGGCATCAAAATTATTAGGTTAGTATAATAATATATGTTTTAATAAGAGTATAAATTTATAAAATTTGATTTAGTGACAAAGAAATTTTACTAGAACTAGTGGTTTTGTTGTTTGAAATTAATGAGGAGGTCTTGGGTTTGCTTTCCAATTTTTACAAATTTCTTTGCATAAGAGTATAAATTTATAAAATTTGGCTAAATGATTAAGAAGTTTAATAAGAAGCAATGGTTTTTGTTGTTTAAAATTAACGAGAGGTTCTAACTTCGAAATGTTATGTGCATGCTTATTCTTTTCAATTTTTACGAATTTTTGTTTGTTTGTTAATTTATTTTTAATTACTAACTAGTAGCTATATGGGTTGCTATTTTTAAACATTCGCATTCGCTCCAATTCAAGTCTAATCTTCAACAAAGAGTAATGCGTTGACCAAATTTGCAAATCATATGACGTGTCATCAAAAGATTTAATTTAGTGCCTATTCATTACTTATACATATCAATTAAAGACTTGAAAGCATCATTATTTTTTTAGTCCTATATTGACAAGGTTAGTAAATAAGAAAAACACCTCACGATTTATACAAAAACACAAAACTCATCATCTATCTACTTGTAAGCCCGGAGTTTTTTGGTTTCTTTCTCTCGATATAAAATAAAATAGTTTTTCTGTGTTTCTAAATTATTAATTTTGAAGTGCTTTTCTAAGTATAATTTTATTAATATCTTAGTGTGAAAACAAATAATTTTCCTATATGAAGTGAGGGCACATTTTTTGGCTTTGTCCCAAACCTCAAAAATCTCTAGACCGACCCTGAAGGTACAACATTCCTCAGGGCTAGACCCTTCTGCAAGTGATGTTGTTCCAATGTAGATGCTCCTGTAATAATTGGACTAGATTAATATGTGATATATATATGTGTGTGTGTGTGTGTGTACATTAAGAGGTGGATTTTATTTATAAATGAAAAAAAATATCACTAAATCTTTCGTGGCTTCCCAATTTTCGTTTCTCTTAGGAGTTTTCTTAATTGTTATTTGTTTTTAATAGCTTTCTACTTCTTATTAAAGTTTGGCTTCATGTCCCCTTTAACTTATTGTATTTTTATTTTTCTTCTTCTTTAATATATTCACAATATTGTCTTTTTTCATGACAGCAATGCTAGAGTGATGACATTGTTGTTTTCACTAATGTCTAACAAGTTAGCCACCTCATTCCCACCGGCAAAATAGCTTTCGTAAAAGGAACCCCGTACAACTTCCTCAAGCCTGATGCTGGGGGAAGCAGGATCAACAACTGCCTCAACAGCTGCGCAGGCAACAAACCGAAGCCCGCCACGGTGGTGCACGACAAGAAGTCCGGGAGGGTTTTAGAGCTGTCGACGAATGCACCCGGTTTGCAGTCCTACACGAGAGAACCTTCTCAAGGATGTGAAGGGGAAAGGAGCCTTTGTGTATGAACCGCATGCAGCGTTGTGTTTGGAGACTCGAGGGTTTCCGGATTCTGTCAATCACCCTAATTTCCCTTCCACAATTGTGACTCCTAAAAAGTCTTACAAGCCTTGTATGCATTTTAAGTTTTGAATTAAAGCTAAAGCTTCATTTGTCTTATCGGTTGTAGTAAACGCAGGAAAAGTCGAATTACTCATGTAACAGTAAATATGTTAAGAATTGAGAATGAAAAGAATTTAAATTCTCATTTCAAGTACGTAAACATGTTCTCGAATGATGTACACTAAAATTGTCATAATCTTAAGATTGTACAATGGACGGCTTATTAAAAACCTCTTAAAACAACCCCTACCCCAAAATTTGGAAAGATTTTTTAGTGTGCCAAGAAGACAACATGTTACATTAAGTGTCATGATGCAAGTTGTTGAAATTTTTTTTATTTTAAATATCCATCTATTTATATTATGACACTTATTATACAATGTTCGGAACCATGTTTCTAGTACATGAAAAATTGCTCCAAAGTTTGATCAACCGAAGGGCTCGTTTTGACGATCCATAAGCTGAACCGTGACTCGTTCTGGGTCGACCCTCAACTTTCCGGTTCAATTCGGGTCGTTATTAGAAGTTAGAAAACGTTAGTTTGTTGTGATTTCCTGTCGATACAAAAACGCCGTTAAAACGATGGCAGTTGAGGTCCTTGGCGCGCACCGGATTATATCTCCAAGACTCCATAGACGAAAAAGAAAGATGGCTGCTGGTGTGCTGCATTCTGCTTCCTTGGCCGGAATCTGCTCCTTCACTCCCACCACAGGTTGCTGTGCATCCTCGCCTCCCATGCCACCAAAATATCAGAAAGCGAATATTTTCAGTCAATTTAATTATTAATTTTCATTATATTTTTTGTTTGCTGATTAATGTTTGCAGATAAATGGAACATTTGCAGATTGATTTCATCGCACAGACACTCAATGGTTTCCCAGAACTCTTCCTCCGCCGCCGCTATTGGGTTTTCCACGACGTCGTCTTCGGGGACGTACGGCGAGTCGAAGAGGGTGTGGGTGTGGACGGAGAGCAAGCAGGTCATGACGGCCGCCGTCGAGAGAGGCTGGAACACCTTCGTCTTCCCCTCTCAAAGCCGTGAACTTGCCGATGAGTGGTCCTGTAAGCTCATTCAAACTTTTTAAGTTTTGGGTTTTGCTGTAATTAATTGAAGGTAAAGGGGAAAACTTTACAATTTTAGGGTTGCCATTTGGGAATTTTTGTGGAATTCCATATAATTTCACCTTAGAATTTGTTTTTTTTTCTCACTTTTGATGATTTGGGTGTGGAATGCGAGCAGCAATTGCATTGATAGATACTCTCTTTATCGAAGAGGGAGCGATTTTGGATGGTGAGAACAGAAGAGTTGCCACAATGCTTGAGGTCGCCAACCCCAAGGAGTTGGAGCTGCTTCAACCCGAAAAAGCGCTTGGCGAAAATTTAGTTGTTGATTTGCTAGATTGGCAGGTATGTTGTTTATTGATTACGAAAATGTAGTTTGTTGCTTTTTATTTCGGTTTCTAAACCTTCCCAGGTATTTTTTTTACGTTGTTTTTGTTTCTTAGGTCATACCTGCAGAGAATATAGTTGCTGCATTTCAAGGGAGTGGGAAAACAGTGTTTGCTGTTTCGAAAACCGCATTGGAAGCTCAAGTCTTCTTTGAGGTATATATCAAACTTTTCAAGATTGAACTTCGGACTATCGCCTAGATTCTATGCATCCTTAACTACTGTTCGTGTTCATTATTTTGCGCTTGTAGGCCCTCGAGCATGGTTTGGGTGGAGTTATCTTAAAAATTGAAGAAGTAAAAGCTCTTCTCGACCTAAAGGTAATTAGTTACTGGCTAAGGGCTTGTTGGGCTTATGGAAAGCATTTTTTCTTCTTCTTATATTGGTTATTATTATCAGGACTATTTTGACAGAAGAGATGAAGTGAGCAACATATTGAGCCTGACAAAAGCCGTTGTAAATCGAGTCCAAGTAGCTGGAATGGGGGATCGAGTTTGCATTGATCTCTGTAGTCTCATGAGGCCCGGGGAAGGACTACTTGTATGCTGTCACTCTACTTTCTGTTATCATGCTGCTCTTTTTATTCAGATTGAGTTGGTTATCGATGATTGTCGTTCTTATAGTCTAATGTTTTATTATCGTCAAGGTTGGCTCCTTTGCCAGAGGATTATTCCTCGTTCATTCGGAGTGCTTGGAATCAAATTACATTGCAAGCAGGCCTTTTCGTGTGAATGCGGTGAGTTTGGTTTTGAGTTTCCTGGAAATGTTATAAAGAACTGTGATCATGTAAATTGGTGCTTGCTGCAACAGTCATCATGTCCCATTACACAGCATATTTACAGAGGATTGATTGCATTAAGTTACTTATCCGGAGCATTTAGGGTTAAAGGGTTTTCATTTATAAATGATATAATTATAAAAGCTTTACCATATTCCATATCATATCTATCAGGCCTGCTCACTTTCGCTTCAATAACTATTGAGATGATTCCTTCGTAAGTAAAAACTATTAAAATGCAATGGAAGTCGAGAATAAATCCTTTCAGTTTCATGCAATTTCCACTTACCTTCTATATATTTGGTACCATAAGGCTATGAGATCACCTGCTTTTGTTATTTAGACAAATCGAGACGAAAATGAATAAGGATGTTAACATTATTTCTTTATGTTCTGTTTTTCCTTACTCGTCAATCTTATTATTGCTTGCATCTCTGCAAGTAAAGTTGATAATGTGTGCGGCTTATTCCTAGACAAACAAATAAACTTTCTTATCAGAAGAGTCATTGGATTATTTTGGAGCTACTTTTTGGGTGGCTTTAAAATTTTACTTTCCATTGCCTATTTTACCAAATGTATGTGCGAAATGTGCAGGGACCTGTGCATGCTTATGTTGCTGTTCCAGGCGGAAAAACGAGCTACCTCTCAGAATTGAAAGCAGGTAAGGAGGTGATCCTGGTTGATCAGAAAGGCCATCAACGAACAGCAATTGTTGGGCGTGTAAAGATAGAGACTAGACCGCTAATCCTTGTAGAGGCAAAGGTCTGTAACAGCTACGTTCGCAAAATTTGATTAATCTTTTAATTAGAGTTGGGTACTTTTGCTGGTTAGTAAACTTTATTGTTGATACTGGTAATATTTTTGCCTTCAGAGAGATTCGGATGATCAAACTTTCTACAGCATCCTTGTACAGAATGCGGAAACAGTTGCCTTGGTTTGTCCCTCCAAAGGTCTTCCTCAACTCTCGTAACCGGTTTCTTAAGTTGAATTATATTGTTTTTCCTATTCTCCGTTCATCTTACAGTCGCTGAACCTTCACTTACACTTGCTGCAGAACGCGAACTGCAAAAAACTGCAATCCCTGTGACTTCGCTTAAAGTTGGAGATGAAATTTTAGTTCGATTACAGGGAGGGGCTCGGCATACGGGAATTGAAATTCAAGAATTCATTGTGGAGAAATAAGAAATGGAAGATGATGTGAACATGAAATTTGTCGAGAATTCTTACAGCTATGTAAATTTGTAACTGACATAACTGATATAACTAGATCATTTTTTGGCCGTGAAATTGCTTGTGTACTACTTTAGTCCTGTTTCTTCCTCAGCAGAATATACAACCCAAGTGCAAATGCAAGGAACAATTAACCACGTGCGCGTGCACAATTTTCCGCCGTGGATGTGTTTGCTGCTTTGAAACTTCTGGCAGTTTCATGCACATCCACGGTTGGCAATTGCTCAGGCAGTTCACGTATGACGCAAATAAATCGATGAGACACAGATTGCAGATTACCGACAAAGACAGTTACCAAGGAAGAAACAACCACCTATAGATTCTTTTCTTTGGCTAGTTTAAATGTTCCTTTGGTAAATTTCTATGCTCAATATCTATGTCTAGCCATACAAGTTAAGCTTGATGGCAAAACCCTATAAACTCGACTCTACGAAGAACACATTGACATTTAACTCAATACAACAACTGAGGTCTTTTCTTTTCCCACTATCTGTCATATCCCTTAAACGATAACTTCTGACGCAAGGAAACGAAATGGATATCAAAGAGGAGCTCAATCTTACGATTGTGCAGATTGCGAAATAGGTCTGGGTGATCGGTTAAGATGGTATAGGTGAAATGGTGAGGCATGCGGACCATTTGGCATGGATCGGGTTCTCGTTGGTTGTCCGTTCCTTGAAACCCTGACCAGCCCTCTACCGCCATTTCGAGAATTTGGATTAGACCCAGGAGCTTGCAAGGCTTGGTAGTAATATGAGGATCTGGCCATGTCATTGAGGTCAGGAAGAGGCTTCAGCACTTCAACAACTTCACTCATCAGAGGTCTAGCCTTGGGGTCACGGCTAAGACAACGGGCAGCCAAATGAAACGCCTTCTGAGCACCTTTGATAGAGAAGTGGCCTTCAAGTCTAGGATCTATTAGACGGTAGAACCTTTGCCTGTCTCCCAGATGCGGGCGTGCCCACTCAACCAAGTTATGCTCCCCATTGGGTCGGTTTTTGTCCATAGATCTTTTACCAACCAACATTTCAAGCAAAACCACCCCGAAGCTATAGACATCGCTTTTTGAAGTGAGGTGTCCTGATAGAAGATGGCTCACATTATATAAATTACTTTACATTCCATAAATTACTTTACATTCCATGAAAGCAAAAGAGCATAAATGACGAGATGCAGTCAGGACTGTTGAGAACAAGGCAAAAAAAGAGATTCATATGGTTTATGATACCAACCTGTCATTACGTACTCAGGGGCTGCATAACCGTAAGTGCCCATAACTCGGGTGGAGACGTGAGTTTTGTCTCCCTCTGGAGCATCTTTTGCGAGCCCCAAAATCAGAAAGCTTAGCGGTGTAGTCCTGGAAGAGTAAATCATTGATTAGAACAATAGGTATCAGGTAAAAACAATGACATTCAAACCCGAGCTCATTAACGCACCGCATCCAGCAGTATATTAGATGTTTTGAAATCTCGATAAATCACTGGCCTTTTGGCTTCCTCATGAAGAAAGGTAAGACCCTGTGCAGCACCAAGAGCTATTTTCATCCGGATAGGCCAAGGGAGCGGCAAGGTCCCTGAAATGGGGGGAAAAATTATTACTGAAGCATGTGACAAATCAAACTACCAGAACTTGTACTGCACACTCTCATACACATTTTACTTCCCCTTTTTTGTTTTTCTAAGGAAACATCTCATGGAAAATTTTCAAGGTGTGGCGATTTGAACTCTAGCTTTTTTACCACCTCACCGTATTTAATTGTGATGTGCCCCCAACTTTGGTAAGTTTTAACCCCTTTCTTTATTTAGATGTAAACAGGAAATAAATCGTAATCTACAACCTCCAAACATAAATTTAAGATTGTCGTATCACATTTTGCATATGAATGGCATCTAAAACATAGAAACTTTTCTTTCCTAAGAGAAACACTTTCAAACACACTATTAACAAGCAAAAAACCTCTAGGACCTGTGCTAAAACAGTATCCACACGTCAACACTAATACTAATAGAAAACCGGTTAAATTCAGTAGGAGTCACAATAGTTCAAATCACTCGCAAGCATTAAAAAGTGAGCATAAATCTTCGAGCCAAAAGAAAAAACATGTTTAATCACTTGTCACAAGGAAAGACCATATTCAAATTTCGAGGAGATATAGTTTTGAGCACATACTTCTAAAGAGGTGATTCTCCAAGCTTCCTCGAGGCATAAACTCATAGACAAGTAACCTTTGATCATCCTCAATGCAATAACCATATAGCTTGACTAAATTTGGATGAAGTAGGTTGCCAAGATAATTAACTTCAGCCTACAACACGGAAAAGACACAATGTTATCTTTCATCCACAAAAGTGAATAACAAACACGCCATAATTCTAATTAGTGGTAACGGACAAAAAGTGGTAATGAGGTTCCATACCAGCCATTCTTTATGACCTTGAAGTCCCTCATGGTTCAGAGTCTTTACGGCAACTGCAAGCCCAGCTCCAGGTTTTACTGGAGTAGTTCCATGTTCGTCAATCCAGCCCTTATATACACAACCAAATCCACCCTCGCCTAGAAGATTCACAGGTCTAAAATTCCTTGTTACAGACTTAAGCTCATCAAAGGTGAATTTTCGTAGCTGAGAAGCAACTTTCAGTTCCTCAGCTTCCTTGGGAGTAGACACAGTACTTCCTGTGTTACTGGTGGATGAAGACGAAGCAACCGGAGCAGCTGGCTGGTCTTTGATCGAGTCATTTGCACCTTTACTTTCCCCTGGTTTACAAATGGCACCACGTCAAATCATCAGGTATAATTTAAGACAATCAGCTTAGCTTTATATAAAGAGTAGGCACAGATTCTAAATTTGGCACAACTAGGATATGTAGATGCATTGATAGAGAAGTCTGCATAATTATCAACCATTGATGAGGTATTTTATGCACCAGAACACGTAATAAGAAAATGCTCTGCCAATGTGAGTATCCCGTTAAATGTTTGCCTTGTCTAATTTTGTTTTTTATTATGGGAAGCATACTTTGTGGATATGTGGAATTGTTTACAGATTAACATCTAGATGATCATAAAAAATTGGACAAGGCTATTTGAAGGAGTAGGTGACCATGATAAGAGCCCTCCCTACTAAAGATAAGCTTGCTAAACAGTTAAACGGACACAGGTAACACAGAGTCACACCTACGTTACTTTCATGAAAGAGTTTTGTTTCAGTCAGTTGCCCACGCGCACATGGAGAGTAATTGACACTAGCATTGTCGTTACAAAATGTACATATAGAGAGACACGTCTCATCACATTAGAGATGCATTAATTGTCAAGACAACTCTAAAATCTTCCACTAAATGCGGAAACATAATCATTGCACATAGCGCACGTCCAAATTAACACGTGCACAGAATTTATACATAACGATGAAAGGGTACTACCTGCGCATCCCTCTTATCCCGCACTCAGTGACACGAGTCAAAAAAATCTACCCATATTTCATATAGAACAGAGCGAATCAAACACATGCACAGCATATATCCAAAACCACAAAAGAATGATCTAGCTCTATATCCTTATGTTTGGGAGCATCCAGAAAACACAAGTCAAAGTCGAATCTAGATAACAGAACATACTTAAAAGTCAAAATCAAACATGCTGGAAATACTTATGCACGTTGGAATGTTCGGTAGAATTAGTACAATTCTAATTAGAACACCTCATGGTTGAACTTTCGAAAGCTCTTAGCCATTCTTGATTAAGAAGCAACAAAACTACCAACGAAAGAAACCTTATCACTGGATAAAACCAAAACCTGGAAACAATGCACCAACAGATACGATCACAGAATAATCGATTTATCCAACCAGAATAACAAATGCAGAACCGAATGAAGATTTGATGAGCCTAATAAGCTATTTTAAACCAAACATCTATATCTATATGCACGGCGCACCGACGTGCTAAATAACATGATCACACTAGTACATTGTCAAGGAATCAATCCATATCTAATCTGAAAGTAAAACCGCAACAATTGAGACAAATTGTATGAGGAAAACATCGTAAAACAAAACGAAATTTTAAGGAATGAATTGAATTATACCAGCTGGTGAGGTAGTTCCACTTGTAGGCGTATTCAGTTTGGTCTTTGGAGACATGCACATCCCCATGAACCTTAACTTCATCCAACATCCTGCCACTTCATCTTGATCATCTTTCCTTTTCTTTCCCTTCGATTTTCCGACATTCTTAGATACAACAGAAGCACCACGTCCCAATCCCATGCTGTCAAAACCCTAAATTAAGCAACCAACCTTTCAATCCCCTTTGAAGACAAACAAATATGGAATTCAGAGAACAACTCCGAAAAAACAACTTCGAAAGAGAAAAACTGCCCAAAAAATCAAAATTCTAGGAAACGCATTGGACCCCTTTCAGATATGAGAATCCTGGATTCAAAAAAAACCCCAAAAACACAGAAACCAACTTGAAAAACCGAGCTTTTTTGCTTGAAATCACTCCACCGGACAGAACCCTCGCAAGAAAAACGACATGCAAGCCAAAACGACGACCGCCTAGTAAAATTTGCAGCTAAAACATAAGAGAAAGCCGGACTCAAAACGAGCAAAAAAACCCAGAAACAGAATCTCAGAGGGCGACGAGTTCGAAGAGAAAGAACACATTTTGCACTAAAAAATCATCACTTCGTCTCTCCCGGCAAAACAGAAAAAACACACGCATTCACTAACACAAAAAAAAAGACATAGAGACACAGTGACAGAGCGAAAACAACTGCGAAATCGTGTCGAGGTTAAGCTAACCAGAAACCTAAGAACAATGCGGTTTGGTTTGGTGGGAGAGAGACACAGAGAGAGAGGAGGTAAACGTGCGTTAAGCATGAAAAGGAGTGAAGGACAAGGGTGAGGACTGAGGAGGATGTTTGAGAGGCGTTTTAAGAGAGAGAGAGAGAAAGAGAGAGAAAGAGAGGGGAGGGGAAAGTGTAAAACAACAGGCATTGAGTGAGCCCCAAAAAAAAAAAAAAACAGTTGCTGGGCATCCTCCAACTTGTGACT